GGGACTGTGCGTGCGTGCGTGTGTCGCTGTAGTGTGACCGTTTGGTGCGTGGTGTGTGTTGTCGTGTCGTGCGTTCGGTGCGTGCGTGCGCTTGCCTGCCTGCCTGCCTGCCTGCTGCCTGCCTGCGTGAGTGGTGTGTGCGTTTCCCGTTGTTGCGTGTGCAGTGCGTGCGGCGTGCGTGCGTTTGTGATACGTGTGTGCGTGCGTGCGTGCGTGCCACGTAGCGTGCGTGCATATATACGTATATGTGGCATGGCTTGCCTTGATAACCAGCAGCAGCCACGTGTAGGAGCTCACATAAGCGTGATTGCTCCTGTGACTGCTGTGTATAATATATATAGTATATACTGTGCTCTGCGATATTGCTACTAATGCTAGCTGTTATTATGTTCAGCTATATCTGTTTTCAAAGGGTGCGAGCGTGTATGCATGAAAGTGACACGCTTGATTATTTCAACTAGTTATTGATTAGCATGAATGATTCTGCCTGTGGTATATGTTGTAAAGGAAGGTTTGGTGTTGTGGCATCTAGGGTCTTTGTATAGAAGGGGGGTTTTAGTGTTGTGAGGTAGGGGCTTTGTGAAGGAGGGGTAGTGTTGTGAGGTATGGGCTTTGTGAAGGAGTGGGTTAGGGTTATTGATAAAAGGTATATGTTGGTAGGGGTAGGTGTTATGTAATCCATAAATTGAAAAGGAATGTCCGTCTACTTAACAATATGGAAACGTTAATACCATATAAATACGCTTGCAGATGCCAAACCCATGGGACAGTGTGCGAATAACAATAGAACGTCCGGGACCGGTCGACCCGACTGGACAATGCGGAAACACGATTCCCAACGATGACTACAAGTACGCCCGCATGGATCCCGGTAGGTGGCGCCTCTCCATCAACAACTAGTACACCCGTGTCAAATTGACTACGTCCCAAATTTTCTATAGTGTTTATCTGTAAAAAAAATTTGTTGCAATTTTTTTTACACAAAAAATTAGTACTAATATAATGGGACTTCGAAATGTTTCTAAATGTGTCTTCAAATTCTTACCTAATAAGATTGTTTTTCAACTAGTTCCAAAAAACGAGGGCGATTTGATATATTGATCACGACATTAAATGCTTACTATGGGCTATGAATGAGTCACGAGTGTTTGTTCACATATCAAACTGAATAGCAAAATAGGAAATATAATGCAGCAATTTAACCATAAAAAGTGAACAGAATCACTGACATTTTGTAAAAAAGTGGACATACTTTTTTTTTTACTTTTTAGTATTTACGGTGACGTAATCAATTTAACTGCTCGATTAAAGTTATACGTAGCCCTACATGCCACGCAGAGTGACGTCGCTGTATGTTTCAGCTAACCGCTACCAGGTGGTGACACCGTCCGTGTGCCTGGAGCGAGGCGTTGCTTACACGATCAAGCTGGAGTTTGACGAGTATCGGCGCGGAGAGGTGAACCCGTCCGCAGCCGTGTTTGTTGACTCGGTAAGTCTTTGCTGTCATCTGCAGTGATAGCATTATTAGCCCTTG